TTTGGCTTCAGTTCTACTTTAGGTAAAACACCTGAACTCAGATATTTGGTACCGACATATAGAATTCAAACATGTTTCAGGAGGCGGAGTTGCGACCCCACGGAGAGAAATTACCGTCTCTTGTGGCAAATTTTCAGGTTAGAGAATGAACGTTGTATCTGCAGGAGAGCACGGTTTTCTTTTATCCCCCCCTCCCCCCATCGCCCACAACCTATCATTATCCCCATCATCCTCCTTCTTCTCTCGCTCACCCTGGAAAGGTCATCGGATCCTCCCCCGGCGTCCCCGTGGTGCTATTTTCTCTCGCCATTATCCGGCCGTTACGCCGCGCTTGCATAAATGTTTGCTTTACAAGCCGGGCGCCTGGTGACATTTTCATTTGTGAAATTACGCCGCGCCCAATCCCGAAAAGAGTAAAAGAAAAAAAAATCGTCAGTTGTAATTCACCGCCGTGTATCTGCTGAGGCAGAGGTCGGCAGACAGGCCGCAGTCATCCCCGATGATCGCCTCTCGCCTCAGGCTGCGCTAGTTAGCGTGCGATAAACCGTGTGGACGGACGCACGCCGCGCAATCCTTATTAAAACCGTCCAGAATGTTATCTCACATATGTGACTTTTTCCTTCGCCGTGCCGCCGCGCACCTCCCTGACACCGCCGCGCACACCTCCCTGACACCGCCGCGCACACCTCCCTGATACCGCCGCGCACACCTCCCTGATACCGTCTGCGCACCTCCCTGACACCGCTGCGCACCTCCCTGACACCGCTGCGCACCTCCCTGACACCGCTGCGCACCTCCCTGATACAGCCGCGCACCTCCCTGATACAGCCGCGCACCTCCCTAAAACCGCCGCGCTCCTCCCTGACACCGCCGTGCACCTCCCTGATAACGCAGCGCACCTCCTTGACACCGCCGCGTACCATCCTCACACCGCCACGTACCTCCCGGATAAGGCTGCGCACCTCCCTGATACTGCCGCGTTGAGTTCAGCTTCAAGTCTGTGTGGTGAGTCAGGAATAATTCCCGCTCATCCGGCGGATCCATTACTGGCCCATCGAGAGGAGATTTGTGCGGACGGTTCAATCTCGGCTGCAAAGCACTTAATCCCCCAGATAAGAATTTCCAATAGATCCTTTCCTAATGTCAGCAGCCGGCAGCAGAGAGGGGCTTACAGACCCCTCCCGGGGGGGATTATCCGCAGACCATCGCGCCAAACCCAGCGCTTACGGAGTCTGTGTTACATGGAGGAAACTTCCCACCATGAAATGGACTCGCATTACACTTTACCGAGCTACAGTCCTGGGTCCCCTTGTTTGAGGGCCGCACCCAACCTGCAAAGAAGATATACCAAGAACATTCGTGTTTGCCTCTATTTGCACAGAATGAATCTTCACAGAGATCCGCAGGGTGAATGACCCTTTGAGCTGTTTATAAATAGACCCCCTTAGTGCATAATGCCTAATAAGTGACCTATTGCCAGGTTACGAGAGGGTGGGGAGTAGGGTTGCCACCTTTTCTTCAAGCAAAACCCGAACACTGTAGCGACATTTAGCGGACATTTTTTTGGCAAAATGAGGCGCGTCTTATTCATATGTATATATCACAGTTGAGACTATTTTCAGTGGGGGACCAGTAGCCTCTTTCTGCTGCCATGAAACCCCGGACACAGCATTATTTGAGTCGCTAGAGTGTTCGGGTTTTGCTGCAAGAAAAGGTGACAACCCTACAACAAAGGGTGAGGATGGAGAGGAGATGGGGGGAGGGGATGATGTCACCCCCCAAATACATTCTACAGAGAGGCGATGTAACATTGTATCGCCCGCGCCGCGCACCATTAGGCTCAGACGTTTCTGTTCTCCTCTCAGCGTTCCTTTAAGAATTTATTACCCCGGAGCGCCGTATTACCGCCCTCCAGGGGAGCCGCCGTCCATTAAGGGAATAGAGCGCAGCCCATCGCTAATCTCCGCCGCCGCTGCCGGCTCTCCCGCCCGGATCCACCGGCCGCGTTTCCCAATTCCTCGGATGCTACTAGCCGGTGGATTCATAAAGCCGGCCGGTCAGCGGGGAGCGCTAATCCAGACGAATGAACGCAATTACACGCCGACTAACTGCTGGCTTGTAATTGCTGATAACCCCGCGCGTGACGCCCCCCGACGCCCGAGCAACATACGCTCATGATTAAAGGAACACGCCGCCTGGAAGATGACAGGTCTCCCGTCACTCTGATGTTCTTCTTGTCTGTCTGTATACAGGAGAGAGATATATATATACACACAGTATATACATCGTCACGTGTCAGTGTGCTCCGTGGAAATGGAGGAATTTGTTTATTTTCGAACATTAGATCAGCGATTCTCAATCTTCTATCCGGTCACATCGTCCTATAGAAGTCTCAGCGCGCCCCGCTCCGAAATGTAAAGAGATATATGTGCAGTTACCCCGAAATCTATACCAGGCCCTTATGCTGGATATTGGTCTGGGATGGAATTTAAGGTCCCCCCCTATTTAACATCAGCACTTCCCTATCGGGAACCCCCTTCACATCAGAGTCCTCAGCCCCCCCTTCACATCAGAGTCCTCAGTCCTCCCTTCACATCAGAGTCCTCAGTCCCCCCTTCACATCAGAGTCCTCAGTCCCCCCCTTCACATCAGAGTCCTCAGTCCCCCCTTCACATCAGAGTCCTCAGCCCTCCCTTCACATCAGAGTCCTCAGCCCTCCCTTCACATCAGAGTCCTCAGTCTCTCCCCTCCGCTCCGGCTGTGCAATGTCCCTCGGCATCCTAATGAAGGTGAATGGACCTTCATTCGGAGCTAAGAATAGAAGAGTCTGCGGGGACCAGTCTAGCAGCCAAGAACCCTTGCAGCACCGGGGCGGGCCCACTGCGAGGGTGCACTTTTTTCCATTCCGGGGGGTTCCTCAAGGATGAGATTTTGGCGTTTGGGCCTACAAAGGACCATTGTAGGCGGCACCGCTTGCAGCTTCACACTCATTGACCAAACAATATACGGATGAGACGGATTCCTGTCACGGCGTCTTTTTGTAACGCACAATATTGGAGGACGCACATAAAAGTCATTGCGGGTGGTCGGGGGGACACAGATGTCTGAACCTCTCTCCTTAATCCTCACGTCTTTATTTCCAGCCAGAGCCTTTGAAGCCGAGCCCAGCGGCCTTTTGAAAGAAGATTTAAGCCTCCGCGAGCCCACCCGCTCCGCCCATGTGGAGATGTCCTCCAGTGCCGGCTCCTCCTCCTCCGCCGAGACTCCGCCAAGCACAGCCGAGCCCATGTTTATTAACGAGCAGCCCACAGCCATGGTGGAAGCCCCCCTCCGTGCCAAGGTAAGAACTCTTCCTTTAAGTCGCGATCAATAATCGCTCTTCTGCTCCTTCCCAGGTGCGCTCGGCTCGCTGCAATCTACGCAGGACGCGCACTCATCGCTCGGCGGCGCGGCACGGGGGTTCCCGCCGACTCCGGCGCGGGCTCATTAAGGATGTTCTGGAGGAGACGATAAGCCGGTGGAAAGCATTGCGGATTAATAAAAGTTTTCTCCGGGCGAAGTCGGCGCCGAGCTGGCCGGCTCGGAAGAAGATGAAAGGCCTTTTTGTTCTGAGCGGCGGATGGCGAAGGTTTTCGGGACGCAGCGTGTGCGTTCTCCCGCAATGCCGTCAAACAAGAGAGAGCCGCCATATCTGCAAGAACGCCGGCGACCGGGAAGGAAAAATGTTTTTGAATGTGAAGCCAAAAGGCAAAATAACGGAGACCTTCAGGCCGGATTATTAAAGCCGAACCCCTCCTATAATCAATCCAATCTGGTTTAGTTAAGACCCCCTCCCCCTCCCTACTATAAAATGTGCCCAACCTTCTCCATGCTCCTGCTCTGTCCTCCACTTCTTCCTCCAGGTGGAATGACGGCCAGTGTCACTTAACCGGCTTCTGTGAGCCCAGGCTGTCATGGACCCACCCACTGGGGGGGCGTGTCCTCACACAGCCTGACACTAGGTCATGCCCTGTTCCAGCTACTTTCTTTCTTTTGTTGTTTCCATTCATATTCTCTAGGAAGCAGGAAACGATACAATGTATCTCCTTCTACAGCTAGTGATCACCGTGATAGCCAATCACAGGGATCATGTGATCAGGAGCCGTTGTTCTATCGAAAGGTCCGACTTGTCGAGTCCCCCGACTGTTGGCGTCACATCCAGTGACTGCCAGTAGGAGATCCAGACCAGATGGAGCTACTGCGAGTGCCCATTGAATCCTTGTCGAAATCTCTTAGGCTGGTTCACACCTAGGCATATCGAATATGCGCGTTTGTTGCGCGATTCGCGGTAAAAAAAACGCGCGACAAACGTGCGTTTCCAAGGGCTACTTGGCTGTATCCCAATGGAAACGTGCGACAAATACGCCACAAAGAAGCTCCTGTACTTGTTTGGGCGTAGGGCGTTTTGTAGCGCGTTCATACTGCCTCTAATACGCCCAGGTGTGAACCATACCCATAGGAAATAATAGGATTTCGGTGTTTGAGCGTTTTGCAGAGCGTTCGAACACGCTACAAAACGCCCCGGTGTGAACCGGGCCTAACTATTGCCACTGCGCCTGGGCGGCGCCGTCGATTTCTATAACCACACCCAGGACTGCGTGTGCGTGGCTATCGGCTTCTATAACGTAGGACAAATCTCACTTTGTACCAGGTTATAGAATCCGATGAGCCGATAGCCGCACAGGCGCGGTGGCAATAGTTAGAGAATTCGGCAACGATTCCATGGGCATGCGCAGTAGCTGCATCATGTGTACATGTCCTACTGGCAGTCACCGGATGTGGCACCACCAGTGGGAGAGTTCGACAAGTCGGAGCTTTCGATAGAGCACCGGTGTTCTATCGAATTCTCCAACTCAACAAGACCTCCAACTCCTGTCAGTGCGCCTGCCCAGCCACCCAAGAGAAGTATGAAGCTGTACACCCTGCGGCAGTGCGCCTGCGCGGGCACCCCATGACACAAGCACCGACGGGAGTTGGAGAGCTCGATAACAATTTCAAAGCCGCACAGGCGCACCTACGGCAAGCGGAGAAGTCAATGTGAATTGCAAAGACTGTGACAGCTGGCGCACTAGCGCCATCTCATCGAAATCTACAACGGATGTGACATCACAAGTTGGAGATCTCGACGAGTTGGCCGTCTCGACAGAACACCGGTCCATTCCTTATAATGAGACCGGGATCTGCCGGTCAGTCTGTGTGCTGGGGGTGCGATGGAGCATATATAGGGGGAGCCATAGAAGACAACTTCTGTGATGCCCCATCTACAGCCGTGTGCAAAAGAAAGTACACCCCCTCTGAATTCTATGGACATGATACCAATCATCGGGTCCTGAGCAGGTCTTAGAATTAGGTCAATACAAATGAAGAACAACGCATGACATATTACACCGTGTCATGATTTATTGTACAAACATAAAGCCAGAATGGAGAAGCCGTGTGTGAAAAACTAAGTACACCCTGTGACCCAATAGCTTGTAGAACCACCTTCATCAGCGATAACCTGAAGTCATCGTTTCCTGGATGACATCATCAGTCTCTGACATCGTTCTGGAGGAATTTTGGCCCAGTCTTCTTTACATCGTAGCTTCAGCTCATTGAGGTTTCCAGGCATTTGTTTATGTACAGCTCTCGTAAGGTCCCGCCACAGCATTTCAATGGGGTTGAGGTATGGACTAGACTAGAATTCAAAGGGGGTGTACTTTCTTAATCACATGACTGTATGTGTGAGGCTGTCTCGAAGGGGTTAAAGGAGAACTATGAGGGGGGGAGGGGGGTGCTTTTCACTCACCTCATAGTTCTAGCCGACCTGTGACAATGAGACTGTCACAGGTTGGCTCAGTAGATCGGGAGGTGAGCGATCCTGTCACGGCTCTCTGCTGTGACAGGGGAGGGGCTGGATTCCCCCCTCCCCCGCTCCGATCTGCCAGCGCTGACTGGCGGAACGGACGGGGGAGGGGGCGGGTACAGCTGGCTCTGCCTCTAGATAGGAGGAGCCAGCTGTCACTCACACAGCTGGGCAGATCCAGACATAATTGTCGGGATCCGCTCCAGGTGCGGCGTCTCAGTATACCGCAAGCTGTAGCTCCCTATATACTGAGCCTAGGGTGATGGGAGGATGCTAGTTTGTGTCCTCCCGTTACCCTAAGGAGAACTATGGGGAAAAGCCCTGACCCCATACTTCTCCATTAAAGTGGAACTCCAGAACTGATGCTGAGCTCCATGTAAAGCTGACTGCGGTTCTGTTTGGTCTATTCTAAGCTGTCACATATGTGCTGGCCAATCGCATGACGGCTCAGCCTGCGGACCGATCTTCTCCATCGATATGTCTGACATTTCTACTTCTTCTGATGTTCTGTTTCAGTCCGGGAAGAAGGGAGGGGAGGTGATGCCGACGCTGGATATGACTCTGTTCGATTGGACGGATTATGAAGACCTGAAGCCGGACACCTGGCCGTCACCGAAAAAAGGTAATCCAAGGGGCGGAGACAGGAGGGGCGGAGTTAAAGGGAACCTATGTTTACTACACACCATCATCTGTATTTGTATCACCTGGAAGCAGTCTCGTCACAAGGGGGGTGTGGGGGCGGCCCGCACCCGGGTGCCACCATTGGAGGGGTGACACCAAAATGTCTGACAGTCTTTTTGGTGTCACCCCCTATAAAAAGTCAGGCACTCGGTCATGGACCGAGAGCCCGATAGTGTCAGGAGAGAGGAGGGGGAGTGAATGGCCCCTCCTCTCTCTGCCAGCGTCTATCAGCAAGCTGGCCGCCGGCAGGCATCAATAAGACGACCGCGCATGCGCGATGACGTCATGGCGGGGTATCACCCAGTCTCTACTCCGGGTGACACCCAGCCTCGGGACGCCCCTGCCTGTTACGTGATTGGCTGTTTGGGGCCTCCACAGATTTAATACACTTTGCTCCTTTTCCTCTTAGTTTAGTCATTCATTAATGTCAGTGGGGGAGGGGAGGGGTGGAGGTCTCCAATAGTAAGCTTATCGGTTCGACTCTTAGGCTTTCTGGCCAATCAGGAAGCCGGGCACCGTGTAAGGAGGTGACGTGGGAGCATGAAGCCGGCTTCCCGGCCACTCAGAAAGCCGGGCCCCGCATCCTTACACGGCGTCCAGTTTCCTGATTGGCCAGCTTCCCGACCAATCAGGAAGCCGGGCAGCTAGTCATTACACGCTGCCTGGCTTCCTGATTGGCCGGGAAGCCAGCTCCATACTCGCTCGTCACAAGTGACAAGGGAGCATGGAGCCGGCTTCCCAGCCAATCAGGAAGCCAGGCAGCGCGTAATGACTTGCTGCATTGCTAGGCTCAGGGGTACAGGTAACATACAGGGGTACAGGTAATATACAGGGGTACAGGTAACATACAGGGGTACAGGTAATATACAGGGGTACAGGTACTCCTAGAATGAGATCCTAATAGGTTGGACTTGATGGACTAATGTCTTTATTCAACCTCAAATACTATGTATCTATGTAACTATGTAACATATCAGGGAATGATGACATCTGATTGGTTGCTATGTATACAATGTATCGTGTATGATTGTTACATTGTTTCCCAGGAAAACAAAGAGAAAAGCTGAATGTGACGTCATTGGCTGAGGAAGAGCCATGTGATCACCATCTGGACTGTCTCCCAGGTAAAGCGCAGCCCTGCATTGTCTGAGGGGTGCTCCATGGGGGGGGGGGGGGGGGGCGGGGCATTGAGCTGAACAATGTGACCTCTGACCCGCTCAGGACCACACATAGGTCCCGATTGTTATTAGCGTGTCACATGCACCCGCCTGGCGGATCGTTTCTAGGGAATGACTTTGGATTTCTATCATGTAGTCACTTTAGATATGAACAGTCATCACTCAGTGAGTGCATCAAAGTCTGTGTACAGCCAGAACCTTTCTTTATATAGCTGTGGATGTAGCAGCGAAGGAGTATAACCCCCATCATGTTTTTATCGTTGTCCCCGTTGGTGAGATTCTTGCTTTCTATTTGTACTGGGAGAGAAAGCGATGCAAAATCAAAAATGTTTGCGTTGTCACCAGAACAGGAAGTGGCAATAAAACTTCAAATGGGGACACTTGTTCCTGTCTAGTAGGGGGGATTTTCTCATTTACTCAGCATTTCCTTTCACTTCCTGTTGCATCTCTAGACAGGAAGTGAAGGGAAATCTCCCCAACACGGCACAGACAGCCAAAATTAAACTGACATGGGGTCCTAACCCTTCCCTGCTCTATGGCTAAACATTGAATTCATCCTCCCAGAAAACATCTGACACTTTGGGCATTAAAAACCTTCATTTGGTCAGAATCCTCGATCGCTACAAAGGATAGAAATCCACTTTGTGTGCCCCAAATGCCTTTGGAAACCCAGATATGACTTTGTAAAAGTGGCAGTGACATCATCACTGTGCTGTACACAGCCTGTGCAGAGAGCAGAGCTGTGGGAGGGGCCCAGCAGGCCCCACCCACCACAGACTGCCTGCTGATAACTATAGAGGGGGGCGGAGACGAGACCAGTCCATTCATAGGATCTGTGAAGTAAAAGACTACAGGTCTCATCTGCCATCTGTACTGACGGCGTTTTGTCATCTCCAGGATCGTGCTGCGACCTGCGGGAACATCTCTGCAAACCGCACAACCGCGGCCTCAACAACAAGTGCTACGATGACTGCATGTGCACGGAAGGTAAGCCGGGGTGACTGCTACGCAGAGAGGGGGGGGGAGAGGCAGGAGAGAGAGAGGGGGAGGGAGAGGCAGGAGAGAGAGAGGCAAGTGAGAGAGAGAGAGGCAAGAGAGAGAGAGGCAAGAGAGAGAGAGGCAGGAGAGAGAGAGGCAAGAGAGAGAGGCAAGTGAGAGAGAGAGGCAAGAGAGAGAGGCAAGAGAGAGAGAGAGGCAAGAGAGAGAGGCAAGTGAGAGAGGAGGCAAGAGAGAGAGAGAGAGAGAGGCAGGAGAGAGAGAGAGGCAAGTGAGAGAGAGAGGCAGGAGAGAGAGAGGGGGGAGGGAGAGGCAGGAGAGAGAGAGAGAGGCAAGAGAGAG